ACAAACCCCCAGAGGCCGAGTGAAGCATCACTTCCTTGCTTTTAAAGTTCAACAGAACCTTTTCCTGCTTGTGAAAATGAAAACAGACTTAGAGTCTGCATACCTGGGGGATGATTGGGCCTATAGTCACTCTGAGAAACAGCCATGAGCAGCCGGCTGACCTTTAGAAATAATACTAACACTTTTCAAGGGGCTACTCATTGAGAATGCAGCAGGGGAGATACAGTCACCTCTGTGAGTCTTCTCAGGGAAACACACATCAGGAATCAGCACTATAAATGGAACACTGAGGCTGAAAAACACCCTGGGGTTAGTGGCCTCCTTGGCCTTCTGCCTGAGGCAGGGATGGTTGTGGCAATTTCTCAATCTATACTCCATGGGACAGCCAATGGAGAAAGTAGAAGTAAGGGTTTGAGAGGGTGGATGTCAGTCAGATACATGTTTACTATTGCAGGTCATAGTTTCACTGCGATGTCCAGCTTAAGACATGAGTTTTGGTATTGGAGAGATGACTGTAGGTGAAGCACCTGCCATGGAAGTTTAAGGAGCTGAGTCTGAATTTCCCAGTACCCACAAAAATATGGGAGAGGGTGAGTGGTGGCCCCTTCTGAAACCTCAACACATAAGAGGTAAAGATCCTGGATCAAGCTGCATTACTAGAGTAGCCAAGACACTATGAGCTGGAGTAAAAAAGAAAGACTGTGGCTCAATATAAGGTGGAGAGAAATTAAGGAAAATTCCCAATGCCAACATCTGACACACGTGTGACACACACGCGCACACACACATGCACATGCGTACTGGTTGGTTTTCTGACAACTAGGTACCATCTAGTTATTAGAAAAGAGGAACCCCCATCAGACTATCTTGTAAGCAAGTCTAGGGACATTGTCTTGATTAATGATTAATGATTAATGTGGGAGGGCACAGCCCACTAGGAGTAGTGCCATTCCTGGGCAGGTGTTCCTGGGTTGTACAAGAAAGCAGACTGAGCAAGCCAAGAACAGTGTTCCTTCATGGGTCTCCTCCCTTAGTTCTTGACTCCCAGGTCCTGCCCAGACTTTCATCACTGATGAAACATGAGAATTGTAAGCTGAAATAAACACTTCCCTCTCCACGTTGCCTAAAGAATCCTCTCACTCCCTGGTCTAGAAAAGGAGACGTAACAGGCTTGAGATACAGAGATGTCTCAATGGATAAAAACAACTGCCTCACAAGAGACCTATATTGTTGGAAGAAGAGAACCGATGCTGGGAAGTTGTTCTCTGACCTTCATAAGTGTGTCCCTGCCACACATACACTTTTAACGCAAACAGGCTTATGGGAAAGTGTACTCAAAAGGGACTCAGCTATACACAAGCCACTTTTACCAACTCTTTAGGAAGACAAAGAGATGAGACACTGGTTTTAGTATTCACAGGACATGCAGACAATTGTTCAACACCCTCCACTGTACCCCACTTTGAAACATGGGGTGGAAACATGATGACCAGCCAAGAAGAGGCATTACCACTGAGTATAGACAAGCAGTGGCTAAGTCATCAGTCACCTTCTCCAACAAGCCTCCTTCCTACACCTTTCTCAAGGACAATACAACATCTCGTGTAATCTTGGCCACTTCCTGCCACCCCCAGTGCATACCCAGGAGTGATCTGTGTCACTTTTAAGATGACTTCAAATTGTGTAGTGAGTTTATCTCATCAGTTATCGTGGGAATTCAACTAGGACACTTAGTCTGTCTCCATGGTGAACTCTTCGAAGATACCTGTCCCGATGTCTTTAAAATGTGCTGATAGACACCAGAGCCCAGCAGAGAAAGCTGAGACAGGACTCTGAGACCACCTACCCCCTGCAAGATCTGCAGATAAGCACTCATGTTCTGCCAAGGGATAGTAAAGCAATATCATACTAAAACATCCATAGGAAAATGTCCGTAGGACATATGACTGACAAGCAGATATGCCAACAGGCATTTTTGACTGTACTATTACCCCGAGAAAATGGGCAAGATACTACCATCCAACTAAGTTACTAATGACCACCAGTGTCCGTTCTAAACTATCTCCATATGTTACCCACAGGCTCAATAGTATAGGGTAGACATTTAATGGAAAAGCTGTGTCCTGAACCAGGAAATAAGGAGTGGCCACTTATCTACAATATGCTGACATGAAACATTCTTCTGGCTTAGGATTCAGAAAGAGCTGAGTTCAAATCCTCTCTTTGCTTTTTACTTTACTCTTTGCTTGGTAGCTTTTGTCAAATCAATTATGGACTTGACCCACTGAACCATAATTTCTTCCATATTTTTTCCTTGAAATCAGAACAACATAGCATTAATTTGTGAGTTTCAATGAGAGAACACAGAAGGCTCTGCATCAGAACACAACATCTGTCTTTGAAATCCCAGACTCTGAAACACGTTCTCCAGGCTATGGTCATGGAGCTCCTTCCACATCAAAGTGTGACTCTTTCTGCTAACAGCCAACAGTGTCCAACATCTCAGAGTCCCATTTATATAGCTAGCTCTGGGACAAGAGAGTGGCTATCAAGAGCCCACTGATAAGTGCCATGCCTGGAACATTTAGTAGGTCTAATGGAGAGAAAGACCACAGAAGGCTCCATTTCTGCAAGAGTCGTAGAAGAAAAGAAGAAGAAGCCACTAGCCGGGCGGTGGTGGCACACGCCTTTAATCCCAGCACTTGGGAGGCAGAGGCAGAGGCAGGCGGATCTCTGAGTTTGAGAGTTCGAGGCTAGCCTGGTCTACAGAGTGAGTTCCAGGACAGCCAGGGCTACACACAGAGAAACCCTGTCTCGAAAAAACAAACAAACAAACAAACAAAAAAAAACAAAGAAGCCACTAGAGGTACCTCTGGGGCTCAAATGTGGAGCCCACTGCCATCCTACAGCCCCTGCCTGACACCTGCTCCTTGTGCCTGTTCCAAGAGTGGGTTGAAAGTAGAGAGAAAACATTCTTTTTTATTGTTTAAGAACAAATACATAAACAACGTTATCTGTCTGAATGCAGGAGTTATGTGTAATACCGTGACATTTATTTAAAGAAGAAAGTTGAAATCCTCCAAGTGATTCCTCCTACCTCAACAGGATCTCTTCTGAGTCAAGACAGTTTTTTATTACCTTCTGACGTTTCCATTCAGGTCCCACCTCCCAGCCCCACTCCCATCTGACGCCCACCCCCATCCCATGTGCCTACAAGAAACACACACACAGTGGAGAGAGTTTGTAACATCAGAGATGGAAATACAAAATTGGTATCTGTAAACTTCTTTGTACATCATTAATTCATTAGCCTAGAGAACTAGAATCAGAGGGAGAACTTGAGCAAGCACTGGGGTAGTTACATACATATAGAGAGTATAGCACCTCTGGTTAAAAAGCAAGATCTAGAAAGTTCCTTTAGCCTTTCAACTGCTCAGCCAGTGCAGCTCAAAGCCAGCCACCATCAGCCACACGTGCAAGCGAGCAAGCATGCTGCCCACTGCAGAGCGCATATCCTATGTTCCTTCCTACTGAGTCCTAAGTCAGTCAGCCTGGTTTGTATTTTTAAAGTTGAAGGGGGGTAGGGTGTTGTCAGTGTTCAGCACTATGAAATGGCACTGTTTTGTTGCGGAACAAAACCACAAACATAATAAGTGGGTGGAGGGAAGATGTATGAGAATAGCAACAATATGATCCTAAACTAATTTTTACTAGGAATAAATAGTAAGTAAAGACCTTCCCAAGGGGCTCTGAATTACTGCATTTCAGAGAAGTAAATGCCATGCACACTTTACTATAAACTGGAGCAGGAAAAGGAACTCGGAATTACCAATGCCTTAATTTTTAAATTTTTCTTTAGTCATTTATTACTGTGGATAGTACTGTGGATAAATGAGGCACATATAAAAAAGCTCTATGTCAACCAGGCTTGATTATTTTATCTTCAAGATCCATCATTTGGTTTTGTTTTATTGTTTTGGTTTTGCTTGTGCCCAAATCTGCAGATTTCTTTATTTCTATCTCTTTTCTGTGTTTATTTTGTTTTTTTGAGATAAGGTTTCTCTGTGTAACAGAGCCCTGGCTGTCCTAGACTGGCTTTGTGAACCAGGCTGGCCTGGAACTCACAGCTATCAACCTGCCTCTGCTTCTTGAGTGCTGGGATTAAAGGCATGCACCACCATGCCAGAGCTCTTTTCTGTTTTTTTGAGATGGATCTCATTACAAGTTTGTAGTGATCCTCCTGCCTCTGCCTCCTTCCTACTGGGATCACAGGTATAAGCTACCAAGCCTGGTTTAGATTTCTCTACTAAGGAGATCCACTAAAAAACAGCATATTAGACAATGTGGACAACATTGGATGAAAATATTATCTGTGTTGAAAGAGATACATACATATGAAAGAGTATTTTCTTAAATTATTATTGTTTATTTTATGTGTATGTGTGCTTTGCTGGCAGAGGCCAGAAAATGGCACAGGATACCCTGAATACAGACAACTGTGAGCTGCCATAAGATTCTGGGAATTGGACCAGGGTTCTTTAGGCCGTCTCTCCAGCCCTCGTAAAAAAACATAAATTAGAATCAGTGCTAAATGTATTATCAAAGTCATTTCACAACTCTGGAGATAATTTCTTTCTTTACAGTTCTCTTTTTTTTAGGTATATTTCTCTGGGGACAAATTGCTAGCCCAGTTCTACAGGACAGTTATTAGAAGATTTTTTTCCTTTTTCTTTTAATTGTATTTCTGTGCTAAAGTTATCAAGATCAGCTCTCTGCTGCGATTGCGTTGTTACTGGGAACTTGCACACACTCACACACACAGAGTTTAATGTGAGGCCAGGACAGAAACAGAGAGATTAGACACAAAGAAATGTAAACAGCCCTCACATGCTAGGAAGCTAGGTTACAAGAATCCCAGCACCAGGCATTCACCAGTCACCATGGAAAACAGGAAGTGAGGTGCATAGCAACCACGAGCCAAAAAGCAGAAAAGCGCATACCTTTAGCTTGGAATGAAAATCACGAGATTTCCTTCTGGCAAGAACCTGAATGTGACTAGACACCTGCAGGGTAGGGGAAGGGAGGAAAACAAAGGAAAAGCCTGTAACCATGGAGATGAAAAGCCCCCTACAACTGGGCAAGCCAGACGTACCTTAATGGCGGCTTGAATTTCTCGAACTTTCTTTCTTGCTAAGACCTGTATATGACTAGACACCTACATTTTTCGGGTTTATGCGGGGGGGGGGGGGGGGGGGGAGAAAACAAAACGAGAAAAAAAGAAAAAAGAAAAACAAAAAACAAAAAAAAACAAAAAAGGAAATCAAACGCTATTCCTTGGGATGGGTGGGGTAGGGGAGGTTATTTGCATCTCAACGCAGCTCTGCGGTTAGGAACAGACAGTCCCAGCCAGACACCAAGCCCCCAGCACTCCTCTAGAGCTCTATGGACAGGGTCCTCACGGCAGTGACTTGATTCAGAAGTTTGGGCAGGCTCACCTCCATGTTCTCACCTGGAGAGATGAGAGGTGGGTGCTGGGGAAAACCTCATTTGGAGAGCCGTAAGAGGAGGGAGGAGGGATGCTTTCTTTTTGAAATTAAAAATGGCGGGGATAGAAATAAATTAAAATATTTACAGGGGAGAAAATCCCCCTTTCTCAACTTAGAGAGGACTGTCCATAAATCAGCATGCCCCACAGAATCAAAGCTGAGGCTATGCGCTTGATTCTGATCTCTTGGAGGACTCTAGCTTCTGTGGCAAATGCTGAAATAATACTAGCACATAAATTAGGTTTCAAAGAAAAATGGGACCCAGTTAGCAGAGCCTCCCAGCCCCAACCCCTTAAAATTTCTTTAATCCTTCCACTCTGTTGGGAATCGACTGGGAGCCAAGTGGATCTGCATATTATTACAAAAAGAAATGTGTGTGTGAGTACAACCAGCCAGCCAGTTAAAAATCTGGTCTGAAAAACCACTCAGCTTCGCTGAACAACACTAGAGAGGTGTCGCCAACTAAAGGCACCCCGAGAGTGATGCTGGGTGTGGAGAAACTGCCAGACAGGCCTCTAACACACAGTGATTCCACTGGGCAAGCAAAGCCGCATCGATTTCAGTGGGACTTGATTAAATTTAGAAGAGCCCCCAGTGAAGGGGTCACTGGGCAAATGACCAGAGTTTGCTGGCCAACGGGCCAGTTTGGCACTTGAGATGGAAGGAGAGCCTGTTGTCTGCATTGGGAGACTGAACCTTCCCATTACAAGTTCAGAGACTTGGGCTTTGTGGCAGTCACCTCATTTCTAACTCTCCAGTGACTCCAGATTATTAAAGACCTTTTGGTGGTTAAATGTCTTTTGAGTTTCAATAATTCCCTTTCTTCCCGTTTCCAGGGAAGCAGGGCTCCCCCATCCTCTTCACCCCCTTCATCTGGCTCCTGCTGTTACTCATTTGCACCCAGAATCGCTTCTGATTCTTTGCCTTGATGAGGGCCATGGCTGGGTGCATCCCCAGCAGATAGTGCCTGACTGCCTCTGTGCTGGCAGGAGGCCACCCCTTTCTGCTGACTCAGCACGGGGCCAGCATGGGCAGCTTTTCTGAGGCACAGCCTAGCCCCTGTTCCACACTCCAGAAAGGAAGCTTCCTCCCCACCCCAACCCGGGTACCCTAATGCCACTCAGCCTTGAAGAGACAGGTGGATTGGCTGGACTCAGGATTCAGTTATAGCCCCTGCTCCCTTTAATTATGCTGCCATGAAGTCTCTATATTACCAAGTGGTCCTGAACTCCAGGGTTCAAAAGATCCTGAGGCCTCAGGCTCCCAGGTAGCTGGGACTAGAGGTATACTCCACCACATCTAGTCAGCTGCAGCTGATAAAGCCTGTGCCATGTGCACTGTCAGTCCACATAGACTGACATTAAGAAATAAATGTTTTCCTGTCATGGACCCACCCATCACATGGGTTGTTTGTTTTCATTTCCTTTTCTGTTTTTAGAGCTGATTTCCCACCCATTTCATTTGTGAACTTGGTCACATCAGAGATCTGGGCTGGTCTGTGTCCAGAAGAACCAGGGAAGGCAGAACCCTGGCCAGAGTCTGAAAAGAATTCCCATTCCTGGTCTGCAGCATATAAAACTTGTAACTGCTTTATAGTTACAGCAGAGGCTGACAAAAAGCCATTGCTAAAGAAGTCACAGTGCCCTGGAAGTGTATCACTTGCTCAGTGTTGTGTTTAAGCCACTGCTAAAGGCCACTGGCGTGACTTCATTCAAAGCATGACAATTACATAATCATTGCAGGATATTAAAATGCACAGAACCTCCAAATCTCTTGGCTTGCAAGGGTAAGTGCACCTGCAGCCTTCTGCAACTCTGGCAAATGTTAAGGAGGTGGGGCGGGAAAGACAGGATTGAACACACAGCACGGGAAGTTCAGACACCAGCTTGGCAGGGAACTTTCCCATGTGTGTATAACAGTGCAGTAGCACATGCTTGGACCACAGAAAAATCATTACGCCATAGACTCCTTACAGGGCACTGGGACTAGGGCTCCTAGAGCCAAAGCACAGCAGCCAAGGCAGACCAATGTCTCCGGGCCATTCGCTGACATGCAAACCTTGCAGGCGGGTACTGTACCTGCTTCCTGGTCCTTGTCTTTCCCGTCCTGAGTTTGATGTATCTGGCTATCAATTCATTTCTACCTGCAAGAAAAAAGAATTTACAATAAGGTAGGCTAGTTAAGAATAAAGAACAAAACAAAGCCCCTAAAAGCTAAGCATAGAAACACATTCAAGAATTTTGAACTGCAGGGGCTGCAGAGATGGCTCAGTGGCTAAAAGCACTGGCTGCTCTTTCCAGATGTTCTGAGTTCAATTTCTAGCAATCGAATGGTGGTTTACAACCATCCGTAACTGCAGTTCCAGAGAACCTGGCACCTTCTTCTGGTATCCACAGACACTCAAACAGATAGTGCACATATATATGCACACAGGCACAACACTCATATATAAAATAAAACAAATCATAAAAGAAAAGGCAGAATTTTTAATTGGAATGGGTGGTAGAATTGCTTCTGGCAATAAACCAAGCATGGTGCGGTCCACCTGTAATGCCAGCACTTAGGAAGTAGAGGCAGGAGGATCAGAACCTTTAGATCAGCCTGGTCAAGATAAGACATTGATTTGTCTCCTTCCTTCCTTCCTTCCTTCCTTCCTTCCTTCCTTCCTTCCTTCCTTCCTCCCTCCCTCCCTCCCTCCCTCCCACCCTCCCTCCC